CGCAGCATGCAGGCCATCTTGGTTATGTACAGGATACCTGTAACGATGACCCAGAGCCATATTGTGCCTCCACAAATAACCCCGATATCGAAATAACCCTAGGTAGTGCCCATGTTAATTCAAAGGATCTCAGCATGAGAACCAAAGGTAGAAGAAGTAGCGAGATTTTAAATTCAAGTGATGTCATGTCACGTGAAATTGAAAACCAAAGTAAATATAACATGGAGGATCTGTGTCTTCTTCATAATGAACGGATCTTTTTCCCTGTACCGATAGGACTAGAAGTTATTTACTTCAATAATAGTAATCAACGATTCAAAATATTTGAATTATGTTTCTCGATTAACAACATAACCCATGTTTATCTCCAAGACAATGCTTTTTATTCATGGGATGGTCCAGTTCATAATCTAAATTCCATAAAAGTTCTCAATCTTTCCAATAACCTTTGTTCTCATGTCTCAGAAAATTTTTTCCAATATGCAGGAAGTTTGATAGAATTATATCTTGGAAATAATATCCTTGGATTTAGCTTAGCATCGGATATGAAAGGTTTAATATTCAGAAATTTGAGGAAACTTGAAATGTTGGATTTGAAAGAAAACCGAATTTCGACACTACCAAAGATTGTGTTTCAAAATCTAGTGAATCTAAAGTACTTAGATTTAAGCAAAAATTTTCTTAAAACATGGGAGATTAACACCAGTTACATGAAAATTGTTTATTCCATAGAACTATCGAACAATGAAATAACGTCTCTTTCTGACGGAGATATGAAAGCCTTTGACAGAATGGGATCGACAAAAAATTTAACAATGAACTTTCTGAAAAATTCTTTTATATGTACATGTAGAACAATCAACTTTATGAAATGGATGGAAGAAAGAAATAAAACCAAGAAAATAAATTTCTTGCATTTTAACAATTACAATTGCACTGAAGATGCAGAACACAACGGAAAAGTCTTAAAATTTGATAAAATTAAATTACATATTTTAAATTTACAAAGAGAATGCCGTTCGTTTTCTACAATCATTTTTGTAACAACTGGAACGCTGGTTTGCTTTCTAGTCATACTTTGTACTGGTCTTGCCTATAGATATAGGTGGAAACTTCGGTATTTTTATTATATGACAAAAAGCCGCTACCATCAGTACAAATCATTGCGAAGTGAAAATCTTCCCCTTAACCAGTATGATGCATTTGTTTCCTATGCTGATGAGGACAGATCCTTTGTCCTGAGAATGATAAAAGAATTAGAAGAAGAGGAAGGCATAAAATTATGTATTCATCAGCGCGATTTTGTACCAGGATTCGACATCGCTGAGAACATTATAACTGCTGTTAACAAAAGTAGAAAAACAATTATTCTCCTCTCTCCTAATTTCATCAAGTCCAGCTGGTGTATGTACGAGTTACATATTGCCAAAATGGAAGAAATTTACAGCAGGAATGATGAAAATGTGATTTTTCTTATCCTTTATGAAACTTTGCCTTTGAAGGATATTCCTCTTACTTTAATGGATTTGATTAATCAGAAGACATACATAGAGTTTCCAAATGATGATCATGAGTTTAGTGATGATGTGTTTTGGAGTACGCTAAAGGGATCTTTCCAATAAAATTGCTTAAACTAAATCTTCTTCAACAGCCCTTGCATTTTCGAACATAATTTTAAAAAGTTAAAATTACGGAGTTGCTATCTTCTAATTTGGTGTTTGCGACCGTTAATGCTGATATAACGGTCGCAATTTTTTTCCTTTCTTGTAGAAGTTTTTAGAATAATTTCTGCTTCATAGGAAAATAAAAAGATGTCTGCTAATACGGGACACAATAATTTCCAATTATAATTCCAACAAACGGTAGGAAGACCTGGTCTCGAAAGATTACAATGTACCCGGTATAAAATATTGTTAAAGAGGAAACACAGCTTTCTTTTGAATCAAGAATACAGTGTACTTGCATAATGATATGTAAAATCTAAATGAATTTCATTTAAGAAATTGTTTAAAATTGGAGTTTTATGAATAGACTTACTTTTACATTTGACAGTCGACTTTTACATTTTAGTTATTTTAGTTTGCCTCTGTTTAAATTGTAGAAGTCAGTTGTTGATTGTAAAAGTAGGTCTCTTCATAAAACTTAAGTATCAAGTACAGGACATGAACATTTACGACTTTCTGTTTTTGTGGCATTTTTGTTTATTTATAGTGAGGATTTTGTAAATGATATAAAGAAAAGGTAAAAGACATAGAATAGTGAGGGAATAAAAAATAAGAGTATTTTGATGTTTAGTTTTGAGATACTCACTTTTCCGAAGTTATTTAGAATGCATTTAAAAGAAAATATTAATTCATATAAACATAACATTGTTTGAAAATGAATAAACTTTTTGTAAGATGTAGCATAAGTAAAAAATAATTGTTCCTTAGCTCCATCACAGAATAATTTCAAAAATTTTCCCCAAAATTTCATTTTTGCCCAAGAAAGGATCAAGTATCATTTTTTTTTTTTTTTCAAATCGATTTTACTTACAATTAAGTATGTTAAATCTACAATCATTCTGGTTATTTTGAAACAAGAGTGAATAAAAATTTCACCTGAAATGTGTCAATAGTTCGTATTCTTTATAATTTTGAGGAATTCTCCTCTATCAGCGAATTTTTAGACCTTATGAAGGCAAAATTCGGCCTGGTTTTTGACCGCATGTTCTTTATGAATAAAGATATTAAATAGAATAGACAAGTCTTAGTACATTAGAAAGATATGTATTTTCCATATGTTTTGAACAATTTTTCATTTGAATTGTTTAATTTTTTGTTCCAAATTTTCCATTTGCATTCTATAATTCCTTATTTGTATTGTAAAATGTACTGTATAAGTGGACATTTTTAACGAGACGCAAATTTCGTGATTTGTCCTTAAAAACTGGTAATTTATTTTTAGCGAGATGTTGTTTCAGCGATTTTAAAATTCATATTAAAGGAGCTTTTACAAATGAAATCAATTTTAGCGATCTAGGCATCCTCCCTAATAATGCCAAAATAAAATCCTCGCTAAATATTCTACTTATACGGTATTATTTGTATTCGTTGTTGTTGTTTTTTTTTTATTTGCAGTGTATTCGAGGGATTATTTTTATTATAATTTATCTTGTTTTATTTTTTATTATAATTAATATAGAATTTTTTTTTTATTATTTTTATTTATTTACCTTAATCATAAGTATTACTGATTATTTCTATTTTTATCATTATTTTGTACTACACGTATGTGTTTGTGGTTTAAGTGCAAAGTTAGGTTGTAGAGTAATTTATTCAATTGTAAAGAGGGTCAACATGGACATGTATTCCCTTTGTTTATAAACTGTAACACATAGATCAAGCACGGTAACCATAAATACATTCATTCATTTGGACATATAAGATATTTCCTATCAAATGAATATAGCCGGTCAAGGCATAAAGACTTAGATATGTCAGAAAATAAGATATTAATTAATTTACTCATAAAACAATGGTCGCGTGTGGTCCGAATGAATTTTCATCACATCAGTGCCAAAAAGCGACAAGTTGTGAAAATGCCATGGAAACCGGTTCTGAGGTATAAAACGGCCGTGCGGGCCCTGAAAACCTCAGTTGCGGTTTCTTGTTAATAAAACATCTTAACTTTTATACAACTTGTCTTCTTTTAAGGTACGTATGTTTTAATTGTATAAATATCTATATAAGTATATTCATTATTTTAGAATCTATGTAATGCTAAAATTTGTTTATTTGAAAATGCTTTGTCAAATTATTATGAAACAGAATTTTGTACAAAAAAGAAAAAGTTTAAATGTTCATAATTGTTACTTATTAATGTTTTTATTTTCAGAATGTTTTGTTAAATTATTACTTTGATTTTTATTATATAGGGTTGCGGTTTCTTGTGAATAAAACATCTTAACTTTTATACAACTTCAATTACAGAGGCTGAAGTCAGGTTATATAGCCATCCCTCAGCCAAGCGAGAGCCCAGCTCACACAAAATAAAATATATGCATTTTAGTTATAATATTTTCTTCAAATGGAAAAGAGAGACAATTGCAGCGTTGGCCATGCCATAAAAATATACAATTAATCAAATTTTTGTAATGCTGGGCTGAAAAATTGTGGATTTGCATTTATTCTGTGATTGAAATGCATTTAAAATTGTCTTACGGAAAACAACATACAAAGCTCCTTTTCAAGCATTAAATTGTCCTGGTACTTTTGTAGTAATACCTCAATTAGCATACGGCATCAGTCAGAAAAATACTTAGTTTTGTTCATAATGGAGAAGACGAGCTAGATCATACAATATTTTAAACATAACATATAGGGGCACAATTTTTCCTTTTCACATATAGGTAGATTTCGATAAAATACAGCGAACCGTTAAAGGAGAAAAAATATGCCTCGTTGCACTCACATACAATGTATATAAAAGAGCCTATCTGCAATAATGTAGCTCCCTCCGATTTTTTATGGTACCGGTATTTTCTAGCGGGGGCTACAATTCCACATCATCTTCCTAATGGTGCAAATATTTTTTTAAATGAGGGCGACTGCAGGCATAATATTGTTTTACAAACAGCGTGACAGTTTGCCTCATGGGGCGTGCTAAAATTTTGTGTGTTGGTTATCATTTTGCTCATCGATTGGATGAATGAAATCAATACTAATTTGCATATGAAACTCGGAATACAACATTTAGCCTGATAATACTGACCAATCACATTGAGTGATTGTTTACCAGTACAGCATTTGTAGTCAGCAGCAATGCGTGGTCAGTCAAAGCCCATTTTCTGTCTTCAAAAAAGCATGCATGTATTATATTTGTTGTGATTTGGCCGGATGGGTTTTTAAATACGTATAAGAAAATTTAAAGAATGGAATTAGTAAGGCTACTCAGCTTCTGTTGTACTATACATGTACGTTGCTCTATCAATATTATCATCATTAGGAAGTAAAACTTGCTTTGTCCATTCACGTGTTATTGTTGTTTATTCAATGCGATTGGTCAGTATTGTCAGGGGTATTGCTGTGTGCTGTGTTTCATATGCAAAGTATTATTGATTCCTCTAATCGATGAGTGAAATGTTTTAAAATCAGGCATACGAAATTTCAGCACGCCCTATCAAGCAAACTGTCACGCTGTTTGTAAAACAATAATACTTCTAAAAAAAACGGAATTTTTATTCACTGACAACAGCATAGGCCCTTAAACACGAAAACCACTCTGATAGCCTAAAATAAAGAATAATTCGTTAAAACGTCCAAATCTTGCCCCTCGATAATTTACAAAAAATATGATAAAGATTTTCTACATACCTTTTCGTCAATTTTGCCATCAAACATTGTAGTTTATTTATTTCAATTTCAATTTTTAATTCCATGCACTGTAATAAAGTATTTATCTGATTAATATAGTAGGGGTACGTTGTTTACATCGATTTCTCGTAGACTTTAGGCCACACCCCCATTTTGCAAGCTATTTTTTTTATTTGAGCGCATGGATGTTTCAAATTGCCGTAATTACGGTCACTGTAAAGAGATAAACTAGTCATTTATATCCGTGAAAGAAATTGAAACAATGTTGCGCTCATATCTTATTTTCCAAAATGGTGCAAAATCACGGATACTTGTCTCTATAGTAAATGCACCTTGTTTACAAATTTCAACCTGCCTTTGATCTCATGAATAACAAAGCACTGAACACGTGACTCAAATCTATTCACTTTCGCACTTTTATCACACCTATGCCACATTGTGTACAGGTGTCAGTGAGCTAGCGATGGTCAAATCATTTTCAGATAATTACTTGAAAATTAGGGGTAAAATTCTTAATTAAGACTTATGTAAAATTTGTTTAATTGTTATTAAATACTATTTCAGTCGATTTAATTTTTTGTTTGATTAATTCGGTACCCTTTGTTCCCAAATATACATCGGCTGATACTTTTGTGTTAAACAATAAACTATATTCAAATAAAATATATCGACTCTACGTTTATTGACTCTTGAAAGATAGAATTTTTTTTTTTATTTTAGTTAAAACTTTCATTAATTTCACAGATAGTCATTTGAAAAAAAAAAAAGAATTCATCATATCTTTAGAAAATAAACTGTTTGTTACATGTGCACTAAGCATACTTTCAGTTGAGAAACATGGAGGGGAAGAAATTGAAATAGGGAGCTCTAAAAAGACCCAAGTATGCAAAACTTTTTACATCGGCACAAAAATGTAAAGTATTCTATGTTCGCAGGTATTTTCCTATTTTCAAAGCATGATTTTTAAAAGCAAGAAAATGCACTTGCATGGTCCTTTTACATGTCCGATCAATTTACGAATTTAGTGAAAAAAGGAAAAGGATATTAAAGTATTTTGAAGTGACTTATCATTTATCTTACTACGGAGAGAGAGAGTTTGTTAAAATCAAAAAGTACATCAGTGAATTTCAACAATTATTGAATTCATGTATGAAGAATGTCATATTAACGTGTCCGGCAAGAATAAATAGAATTTAGTTCAAAGCAATAAAAATGTAATCTCGACTGTACAAAATACACCAAAGTTTCATTATCCATGAGCAATGATACTGACATTCTTAATTTTCACTTACTTAACGATTTATTTTTTGTACATAAAGTGTATTTTTTTATCATAACTCAACCGCCTACATGTTTCTGTTGTAGCACTCGTGTTTTA